ACGCGAAGAGAAATGTAGAATACACATTTAGTACCGTCTTTTTTTTTTTTTTTTTTTTTTTTTTTAATTAAAAACATCGTACTTGCAACATTCCTTCCTCAAATTTAGTGGAATTTGCCGCGAGCTGAGCGTACTCGTAGCATTCTTTCGCGGCAGCGACGCGATCGGCACCCGGCGGTGTGTGATTCACAACGTAATAGAGCGCCGCGGTGCCGTAATAGAAACCGTCCGGGTCGGAAATTCGTTGTATGCACTTCTTGATTTCCTTGAGCAACGTGATGTTTTTCGAATAAAGCGACCACGTGTCATTCGATTTAACAGACGTATTTCCCCATACACGAGTCACCTCGCCTTTAATAGCCAACGTGCATATCAAATGCGTTTCTAATTTGAGAACGGGCGTGATGTCGAGCCATTTTTCGTACGTTCTTAAATTCAACTCGGGAGCTAGAGTGAAAAAATAAATATCAATAAAAAATATCAATAAAAAATATCAAATTTAAGTTGATTTTTGTTTGTTTGTTTTTTTTTTAAACTTAATTTGCAAAGAGGCAATACGCGCAAGTTATATACATCACGTACTGATAATCTTCCAAATGTCGACTTTGTGCAAGAACGGAAGTCTCCACTGCGCTATTGACGGCAGTGTATTATGTCCCGGATTAAGATGCATCCACTCGTCCTGTTCCATTGATGTAGGAGGTCTGAGATGTAATGATTAATTTAGTTTCTAAATGAACTAAACGCGAAATTGCGAATTTGCGCACTTACCCATTTCGCGTGTAGTTTTGCAAAAAACAGAGATAATTTCTCTTATCCATACTTTTATCCTCTATTAGATCCATTAGTATAATAAACACCTCGTAGTGATAAAAACTGATCTAAATTTAAAAAACAAAACGAGATTTACATAGATAACGAGATCAGATAAGAACACTGCGCTAAAACTGAGATTTTTATTCTTCATAACTTACTTGTTCCCATAATACAGGAACAAATCGCTTCAGCATAGACTTATCATCCATTTGTGCAACAATTGCATTACATTTGTTTCTTAATCCGTCCACCTCGTCTCTCGAGATGATCAATTCTATAAAATATTGTTCAGATATTTGTGCACAAAGATATTTGATTTAAATATTGACTGTTGCAAATATATGTTTATTTTTGTAGTTTATTTACCTTTGTTTGCATTTGTATTTGAAATGGTTATTGTCGGACACCAAGTTTTTAACAACGTTTGCAGGTAAAGCAAGAGACAATCGTTGAAATTGAAACCGAAATTAGAACAATAATCTTTTAGCACTGTAATTACATTCTCCTTATTGCTATTTATAATTCCCTGTAAAATTTCTCTTTTGCTTGAAGTATCATTTATCCAAATTTCTGCAGATAAAAATAGATCTTGCTACACTTTTGATAAAAAAAATTGGATTTCTTATACATATACAGAGACAATGCAAGAGTATACCTTTGTAAGCTATCGAGTAATCTAAAAGCCGTTGTGCCCAAATGTGAAGCAGTTTATACCACTCATATAACTGTAATGATTCTTGATCGTTTCTCAAGCGTGAATGTTCATATCCAAGAGTCGAAATGGTAGAATGACGAATATAATCCGTCTGGTATCTATAAAAAGAATTGCTTGTAAATGGTAATGTTGTTGCGTTAGTTATAAAAAAAAGATGTTTAATTTTCTTACAATGTGGAAGTTGTGGAAAGCCAAGTGCACGCTTCCTGCTCGGGTAACATAAAGAGACAAGATAGTCCCAGATGCAAATCGAACGATCGCCCAGTACACAATTTTTTTAATAAATTGATGGAAAATTGATACATTATAGATTTCAATTTTTGCATTACGATTTCGTTCTTCGTGAATGTACTGTGGTATGTAAAATAAAACATCTTGAAAATTTGCAATAAGGAATAATCGTTGTGTTGAAGTTGTATTGTTATCGAATTTTCCAAAAAGTTATTCAACACTTGATTCATATGTTCCTACGCATAAAAACAAACAGTAATATGTTATATATTATACATAGTTTTTTATACACAAATTTTATGTAACTAGCACAACAGTGACCCCTCCCCCCCCCACCAAGGCCGCGCGGCCGAGGTCAGTGCCCCGCCAAGGCCGCGCAGCTGAGGTCAGTGACCCCGCTAAGGCCGCGCGGCCGAGGTCAGTGACCCCGCCAAATTCGCGCGGCGGAGGTCAGTGACATTACTCTGTAGTATGTATATAATACATATAATACAATATAAAGTATAATATTATAAATATATAATAAATTATATGTATATGTATTATTTAATGTTATATATAATATAAATTACAGTCACGTTATTTTCACGTGTTGCTTTTCTACTCTTTCCTGTCACGTGACTTTAGTTACGTTTTTAATTTTCTCTACATATACGACGAACTGTCTCAAAATCGCTTTTCATTATTTACTCTCTCGATCTTACCGATTCGATTCGACTCGATCAACCAACCAACCAATCGGCAAAGAGGCAATAATAGGTGCGATATATTCGACTCCAAACGCGCACTTCTCTCTCGGTCCAAATGCCTTTTTTAATATAGGAGGAGCAGAGGATATCACATACCTTGGAATGCGTGATTTTATAATTATCAGTTTGATTTGAATAGAATATGTTAAGAGATATTGCGTCCTTAAAAAAAGACAACAGTTTCTGATCCAAAGTTATCGCTTGATCTTTATATATTGTGTATAATTTCCAATTAGATAGTGGCACGATTTCTTGTCTCGCATCACAATTATGTTTGTTAGAAGAACTTGGACAAACACTGATACAATTATAAAGTGTTAACGCAGATTGCAAGTCACCTGTGAAATATTAATACGATATAGATTATTTAGCGTCATTTCGATTTTTTTCGTACGAATTTGTGATACATACCGTCTTGACAAGTATTTAACATCAAAATACTTAAAGTTTTTAGTATTTTTACAATACTTGTATCTATAACAGCATGTTGTAATGCTGATAAGCATATTTTATATATATTTTTAAATTCTTCTGTTTTCATGCTCAAATCTTCAACGTTATTACTGCAAGATAAGAAACAGTATATCTATGTAAATTGAATACATAAGAAAAAGTGAGAGAAAGAGAGAAAGAAATTATAAGAACATCATAAGATGTATATATATACTTGACAAGTTGTAGTAACGCGTTCATATTTTCTATTTTTTCCAGCAAAGTTAAAGTTGCATATGATTTTTCTAATCCTAACAGTTCAGCGATTTTAATAGCCGTCTCGTGTATTATTGACAAATCGCTCTCCTTCATATCTATCAAATTGTATAAGCAAGTTAGCAATATATACTTGCAACACCAATATACAATATATATATATATGTAAAAAACAATTAATTTATAATATTTTAATTATATAAATTGAATATATATATATTTTATACTTGACAGTAACTCTGTGATGCAATTGCGTAACACAAGCGACTTCTGGGTGCGGTAAGTCTTCATTGAGACATCAATTTTATAATCTCTTTTCAATATATATAATGATTTTAAATCTTTTATTGCACTAATAATTCTATCGCAATAAGAAGCACAAGCATTCGGTTGCTGTGACAAATTATATATTTTAAACTCAATGCAATCTAGCATTTCCATGTGATAGGCCAAAGATGTCGATGCATTCTAGAAAAAAAAATAAGACTTACTTGTCAATGTATGATTAAATATAGTTGATAGAGATTGGTCTTATTTCCATATTTTGATCTAGTATTTGTCAAGAAGCTGTTTTTACCCGAAAAGAAAAAGCTGCAACGACGTAGTTAACAATTCCTTCGTAACAGTACAAAACGTCAACAGTATCACTTTCTAAGTGATGTAATATGTTCATTGCTTTTTGCAGATTTCTAAACACAATATAGTACAATATAATACATTAAGATGAGAGAACCGCAGTATTATCCGCACTTTTCTCATTGCGTAACAACTCAAAGTAAATAATTACAATATTTACCCTTCGTTCAATCGAGCGTTTATGCATCGACAAAATGCATCTCGTTTAAACTGCCTATCGTTTCTAGTCAACACATCTATATCTTCGATCATGCAATCGCGATCTTCCTTTATCACACGTGATATTAATCTCTGAAACAATAAATAGTTTATTAAAAAATGTCACAAAACGCGTCATACAACAATAACGACAAGATTAATGACACCAACGTTATTTACGCCTATTGTTGAATATCCGTATTTTTTTAATACGAGCTTTATCGGTACGTAGTCACGTTCAATTTTGATTTTAAAACACAAGCTGTGATCGAGACTACTGCTTGTTTCCGCCAGAGTAGTTACAGCCGAGCTCCAAGGCACTGGTACTTTTTTTAAAACTGCGAGAGTCTGTTCTAGTCGATTCTGCAAAACGTACACATGTATAAATATAAAACAGAAGTAGAAAACGTATTTTGGCAGTTTTCAATTAGCAACGATGTTTACCTCTATGTTATGTATAAGGTTTATTAAAATAATAACTCTCTTTTCCCACAGAACTTCCTCGTCAATCCACCAACCACTCGAATTTTTAGTAGTTTTCTAAAAAAAATTGTATATATAATGTACATGTGTATAATAACACGCATGTATCTATTTATGCACACTGTTATACACAATTATATATTTATAATTCTTCATTACATAAAAATAAAGATACAAACCTGAATATATGCGCATAGCACGGCATCGGTTTGTAAATTATTACTAAGCGTATAGTCCTTTAGAAAGGTGTTTACAAAATTTGAGATTTCATCCAAATGTATTTTGTCCAATAGTAAATAAATCGCTTCTCTAGGTGAGCCGACGTACATATCGAGAGGTACTCTCAAACTATTGCATTAAAATGTGAAATTTACAATTGGAATATTATACGCGTTTCATAAAGTAATTAAACTTGTAATATACTACACCTACCTGTAAACAGTCTTCAATTGTTTAATATCGGATAGAGCTTGAAGAAGAATCATGAGCTGCTTGAGAGCAGAGTTCTGGCAGCTGTACTCTTGATAGAAATATACGGATTGATTGTTTTCGAATTTGAGCAATTTTAGAAATTGCGTAGCAAAATCTATTCCTATTTCCGGCCATGCGGTACGATGAAATATCTCGAGGCATTTTAATTTTTTCACACCCCAAGAAATAATTTCATCCATTTTATCGGGTAGCGAAGATAATAATGTTGGTATGAAATGGATAAGCCACGGCCATAGGCATGACGGGGCCATATCATCAGGCAATATTCCAAGGATGTCTCGTATACTTTGCGTGGTTACATGTTTTACTATCTTACGGTAATGCCTTGTCCAAATTAAAGTGGCAGGTTTCAATTGTCCCTATAAATACGTGATAAGTGATAAAATTAACTTTTTGAAATATAACGCACAAATGATCATCACATTTTTACACTAGGATTATGTAATTACGATTATACACGGTACCATGCTTAAGTAGGTGATACATTCTTCTAATAAATTTGCCTGCGAAAATCTTATCCACTTTTTCAAAACTGCCTTATCCTTCAACAACATATCTGTCTCATTGTCTTGGATGATTCGAAAAGTCTCGAGTCTGTATAAAGTGTCATTTATTAAAGACAATTGGCTATTAAATTGAACAGTTGACTTTTCTTCCTAAATAAAAAAAAATAAGAACAGATGACGATAAAAAAATAATGACAATAAAAATATTGATAATCATGCAAAAATTACGATACCTTCATATCTTGTATTATTCTTTGCTGAGCATATAAATAGATTTGTTTCATCTGCGTATAATCAGAAATGAGGGCTTTGCTACAACATTCAGTCACGTATTGCACACTTTGTATTTTATCTAAAATACTTATTAGTGTGTCCACGTTAATTGAATCGGGCGTTTTGCTCCAAGGGTTAAGTTGCTCTACAATTAAAGCCGCTTTAGAACAATAAATAGGTTCCACAGAAAGTCCCAATCTCTCGGCAAAATCCTCCGCTGTATCGAATTGCTTCTTCTTTAAGAGTCGCGCTAAACGCATTTCCGGAACACTTTCTGTTATAGCTTTCACTCTAAATGTGCTAATAATGTCGTTCTCGGCGGTAATGCCTTCTAGATAAAATATATAATTGCAAGCATGCACGTTTTCCAATAAGTAAGCAGTATTGGGAACATTGATCTCCAATTTTTGTTCAAACTCTAAAAAAGAATATATATATACATTATTATATGTAAAAGATAATACGGAATTATTAGATAGAATATCTACAAATAAATTGTTCACCACCCTGATCACACATACACACATACATACACGCGCACACACCTGGAAACGAAATAAGACACAATGTATACACAGAGCGATTTTGTTTAGATGACGTCAAAAATAAAATTTCACAATTAGTAGCATCATGTTGTATTATTGTAAAATCAAGCACTGGACTGTCACATATTTTTAACCCAAGCAAAGTATTTGGACATATAATGGTTAATTTATGATCTGTACGCAGACAAAGCATTTTACTGAAACAAAATATCTGCTTTTAATCACACATGATATTAAAAAAGAACAAAATTAAAAATGCAAGATAATATTAAATTGTTCTAATACAATGAAGATTCAATTACTTACTTGCTACCATAAAGAGGTTTTATTTTTTTATATCCAAATGAAAATACATTGTGAAAATTATTATACTCTTTATTAGGCCATGTAAATACCGAATTTGTTCCGACCATAGTTATTAATAGTTCTTCTGATATTATATTTACCGCAGCGCATGAGAACTGTAACAAATTTTTCAATGAGTTATGTAAAGAGATAAAAACAATTTATATATATAAAGAAAATAAATGTATTTTACCTCTGGAGATGTAAATCCTTCATACAACCGAGAGCATTCAATGTTTTTTACATGTTTAGCAATATCAGCTTTATCATCATCAATAAACGCACTTTGTAAAGCCTTAGGATAAAATTGGGAAAATCTATAATATTTAAGTTTAGTTACTCATAAAGTTTAATTAATATATCATGAAGAAAACAATATATCATGATATAAAGAATAATTACTTGTAAATAGCTCCAGCAGTTGTAATTAAAATTATAAATGTTTCTTCGTCTTCTTCTTTTAAAAATATCTGTATAATGTTATCTTCATTATCAGATATTGTTCTGTAATCAGAAGTTGTGTAATTTAAAAATATTGAAATTATTTAGTACAATCTTCTAATTATTCTTATTTAGATATTGTTTACTTATACAAAATTGTCTTACTTGGTAAATATTATTTTTCCATCTGACAAGTGCAAACAATACAAGATCCTATTTGTAAGAACCACAAATAAAAAGAAACCATCTTTGGACATACAGTAACAAACTATGGTGGATGGAAAGTTAATGCTACATAATATTTCATCACATATCTCGTTAAAAATTGTGAGTGATTTATCAATTGCCGCACAAAGTCTGCCATGATAAAAACACGCTACAACATTTGGTTGTTGGTCCACCTTAATAACACATTAATTATATATTAGTCAATATTAATAATACACTAAAATATTCTGTGTAATATGTATATATAATTACAATTTATAAAAAAAAGAAAAAGAGAGAGAGAGAGCGCATTATTACTCCATTTATGTTTATATTTGAACGGTGACTTTCATATCAGTAAATTGTTTCGTTGATCATTTTTAAATGCGCGGTATGATAGCGCATACAAATTGGAGCATGCGCACGTTGCGCAAAAATTTAAACATTACACGAATAAAAGACAAGTGATGTTACAAATTTGTACATAGATGAAAGTTAGTTTCTTTAAAAGAAACTTTCCTTACTCTGAAACGTGTCACAATTTTATCTTTCAATTATAGTATAATCGTGTATATTCTAGGACAAAAAGATCACTAAAACAACCGATTCTGTGTAACCGTCAAATCAGCATTAATGTAAAACTACCTTCTCCGTAGAAGCGATCATTGCCACAGTATGAGCCTCGTACAAGGAGCCATTGTTTTCGGCAATTAATCGGGTCCCAAAATTAATAGTTTCATCATCCGCAGAAAAACCCGACTGTATTCGATTCCACGATGCCATTTTTAATACATATCTCGCACTAAGAGAGGTTGCGTTTCAATATACTGCAAGTATCGCATATCTATAGTTCATGTGTATATATATATATGTATAGTTCATGTATATATGTATATATTATGTGCATATGATATATTATATATATATATATAATATACAGAAAGAATTCAGAGAGCAACCATCTCATTGTACTTACTTGACTGCTCACAGCTCTCCCAGCTGATTGATTTAGCGCTATACATCTACAAAAGTGTAGAAATGTAGAACTACGGTGCGACATCCACTTTTAAAAGTAGACGGTACATATGTAAAGGGTCTACAATGGAAGTAGGCAGTATGGAGTAAGGCTGCGTTCAGGGAGCACGCTATCAGCTCTATTGTGTCATCTTTGTTTTACATCTAATGAGCAATAAAGATAGAATGATGCAACAGCTATCCGAACAAAGTCTAAGAAGTAAAGTTCTTGGCGTTATATGATCCAATCAAAATAATCAATGAGAGCTTAGGAGAGCTCAATGGCTCAATGACTGGATGAGATGGTTCCTCTCTGACTTCTTTCTGCCAAGTGCGACTCGTTGATGTACCAAATAGCTTTGAGAAAGATAGAGAAAGAAAGGTGAGAAAGAAGAGAGAGAAAGAAGAAAGACAAAACATTTTATACATATTTTCAATATTAAAGTTTTGTTTTGCTTTTGAGGTAACCTTCATATGTTTTTTCATATGATTTAAAATAACATGTTTAGATGTCCTTGACGAACAAATTTACATGTGTCGACGCGTTTCGAGAATCACTAATGAAGCATCTCTGTTTGATACAACTTTCCCTGGAAATCCTTGTCTGGTCGTCGCATATTGGGCATACTTGGCATGTGAAGTGTAGTAATCTGTTTGTAACTACCTGAAAAAAAAAAATTTGATATTGTGAATTCTATGTATGTTTCTACGAAATGCATGAATTTCTGAAGATACTTTCCAAAATTTTGGCCGAAAAGAGATCTAAATCTCTCAATGCTGGTAATGTATAAAAATCAATTATTTACAAATAGTGTATACACAAAATGTATGTAGTTTTAATACATGCATTAACTTGTGTTTAGCATCTGCTGAAAACAAGAAACCAGATAACAGCAAGGAGAGTTTATCATTAAAGCTAGATGTCAATGACAGTTACATGGGACTTGCACAAATATTATACACAATACGACTAGCCTATGTAAACTGTACCAGTCCAGATGAAGAACCATTCTACGATAAGAAAAAAATTTCTGAAAATCACAGAAAAATACTTAAATCTAAAGAAATCCAGTTACAAAAAGTGTTTAAAGAGACATCTAATAACTTAGCAAATATACACTTTGATATTGTTATATCAATTGCAGCAAGTTACACGTTCTTAGGTGACATTTTAGTTTTCTCAAATTGTGATTTATTAACTTCGGCGGAAGAATGTTTTAAAACAGCTATAGAGTTATTAAAAGGAAAAGAATTGGATTCCAAAGCTATTTTAACAGCTTTGCATGCATATCACATGTTATCACATGAGTTTTATACAAATACAAAATCAGATGAAAGTTATGCATTATTAGTTACTGCAGTGTCCTTATATACAACATATACAAAAGAAGAAAATTATTCTATTCCTGAGACATTTATTGATATTTTTAATCTTGAAGATATAAGATACTTGAAATTTGAAACAGATGCCAAAGAAATTTTAGATAATAGTCATGTATCAAATTTGAGAACATTAATAAAGCTGTATAACATGTCTCCAAAAGACAAGCATGAATTTGTGCTATACATGCACAAGTTATTGAAGGATCATATGGAAGAAGCACTTGTACAATCAGGACATATAGAATGGGCTATTGCCTGTGCATCTTTAGCCACTTATTTTATATATTATAATCGTTTTACTGAAGCTAAAAGTCATCTTCTTATTGCAAACAAAGTATTGGCTGAATATAATGACAAAGCATGCATGCATGCTACTGAACAAGACAATGTAAGTTTAACATCAATGTCAACCGAGACATCTGAAACAAAACAAAAAGTTAGTCTGTTTCGATACGCAGATGATAAACTGAAATTACAATGGGGACTGTATGGAATTTCACTTCTGCGTGTTTCAAAAAAGAGACTGTTAGCGCCCGAACAAAATAACACACCTTGTGAAAGAGATAATTTGAACTCGGAATCTCTTTTACTATTTGACGAGAAATTGGAGTCACTTGTATATTTGGATGCAAACAAACAATTTCTTGATTTTACAGATCACTATGTGGAAAATATTACCGATGCTTTTGAAGTTTTCATTCATAACTACAAAAATCTTCACAAAGTAATGGCAAGGTGTAAAGAAAATAACGAACTGCATCGTAGTGTTGAGGCAAGTTTATATATGTCCAGATTGTGCAAATATATATCGTATTTTGAATCAGACATATCCAAGAAAGTACAATGGTACAATAAGCAAATAAAATGTTTAGAATCTGTAATTGAAAATTTAAATGAAACAAATAATCAAAATGTAATGCGAATGCGTAAGATTCTTTGGCTCGAAATGAGTGTAGCTTATACCACAGTTATGAATATGTCTGAAGAAATATTGGCACAAACAAATGAAGACATAGTTGAGAAAACAATTGGTCTCTCTCTTTGTGCACTACCAGACAAAATCTTCGATTGCTTAACAGAATTTTATAATATTACACTAGACAATGAAGATAAAAAAGATAAAAATGCTCATAAAGTTGTAGAAAAAAAATAACTTGACAAAGGCTACTATGTTATGTACAGACAACTTTTATATTTCTTTTTATATTTCTATACTCTAAATATGTCTAATAAATTACATTTGTTATAATATTTATTTTAGAACTGTTTTGACATATATATATATATATACACAGCAGAATCTTCCTTGAGTTTATGTCTGTTGATTCTCTTGAGGAAACGACGCAATTTCGAGTGAGTCAACTTTCGACTATCCAACTAACTTGTTAAAATATCTTATCAGCTCAATATTCAGATTAATTCCCATTCGGATTTCTATATTAAACTCTGGAAATATATATACATTTTACCTTGTCGTCATCAAAAAATGCTCCGTTGAATTATCATGGTTTTAAAAATCAAGAGTAAAATTATCACTTAAGTAAGCAAATTTGCTAGAAGATCCTACGATCTCATACGTTAAAACCTAGTGAATTTGCTTTCGTAACTATCCTCTCGTCTCACAATACGCTGTTGACCGTCTGTTGGGAGAAACGGAACGTAGATGTCACTGCTGTTAACTTTATTGTGTTTAGCTGGCACTCCTAGCAAGAGTCAAACTTTTCGAATACACGAGGACCAACATTTTCGAATAATGTGTCGCGTGTGAATAATACTCGTTTCATCAAGACTTTTATTGGTAAGAATTTCTTAATTGCGTGTGATAAAAAAATCTATATTGATAGTTTTCAGTGAGTAACATGTAACGTGTGCAACTCTGTTTTGTACAATTGTGTTTACAATTCTTGTCACACGCGCTTTTCTCTTAAGAAAAAACAAACGCGGCGTGATCAGTTTTCCCATTTCCGACTGGGATTCGGCAAGAACCGAGATATTTGGCGGAATTAAGAATTTTATTTGACAATTTGTGTGGCTTCAATTACGGAAGGAAGTTTTGGATTACGATATTCTCTCGAATCGGCACGATCAAATATACATCCGCGTACAGAACGAGGTTTTGGAAAAACAGTGAAAACAAAATTGTCGTTATTTCAATATAAAATCACGTGTCAAGTATCAAGATCGGTCTTGCCAACTCAAACCGGCCGGTTAAACTAATCGGGATTGATGTAATTTGATCTTTTATTTATAAGATCGTGGATTTAAAGTTTATTTTATTTTCAAATACCTAATCACAGCTCAAACGGTGTTATATAAGATAGAATTAAGACGATCTTTCCTAAACATATAAGACCGCAAATATGTAATGATATAAAAATCTGTATTTCATCAAATATTTATCAATTCGGCTGCGCTACGCGCAAATTGTTAGTATGTAGAGGATTATAAGTTCATGAAAAATTAAAGGTCATGAAGAAATAATCATCTTCTCTGAGGCTCGAAACGTCGAAAACTAGTAGAGCAGATGTAGTATACCTATCTAAGTACTGTGTAGATAATAATTGCGATAAGAGTCAGGACAGATGATCGTGCTATCTTTTTCTCTTTTATATTAATTCATACACATAACAAATGATTACTTTCAGCAAAATCGATTGCTTACTGAGCGCTTTGTGTTTATTGCTTATTATTGGCATATACAGTAGTTTCTCGCTAATATTCCGCTTTTCGGTTCCGCGAGCAGAAAGATATCAAAAGAGGTATTATTCCGAGAAATGTTATCTCTCTGATTGGCTCGACCGCCGCGGACCCCACTAATTCGCGCGAAGCTTAGGCGAAGCACTTCTAGGAATTGATGAGGATGAATCCCGGTACGATACCGGGATAAAAATTCGGCACGTCAGCAAGGAACTACCGTATTTTATATATAGTTACGATAAAGATCTAGAGAAAAAATCGAATCAAAGCTTGCAAAGCACAATAAGCACAAAGCTTACTAAACTTTTAAAGAAAGAGATTGAGATTTTTGTGTGCAACTTATTCTACGACATTTTTACTGTATTTTTTGTTTTGCTTTTCAATGTTATGTTTTTAATATAATTTACTTAAACTAACATGTTTCTTTAGATATCCTCGTGACGAACAGAACTATTACTATTCTTGCGTTCCAAGTATCACTAAAAAGCATCTTTGGATACTGACATCGATTTACTCAGAAATTAGAATCTCTCGTCCGTTTATTGCACGTTGAATATACTTGATGTGAAGCGACTATTTTTTTCTAAAAGACCATTTTCGATATTGTGAGAAATATATAAAATATATATACATACAATGCGTGAATTTCTGGATATACTTCCCAAAATTTGGGCAAAAAAAAGAACTCTCAATACTGGTAACGTATAAAACTAACTTATTTACAAATAATTTATTACAAATAATTATAATTCACACACACAATGTGAGTTTTAATTACTATTGAATTTGTGTTTAGCATCTGATGAGAAAGAAAAGTCAGATGACAGCAAAAATATCTCAGCAAGGTTACACGTCAGTAAAAAGTATCTGAAACTTCTAAACTCAGTACGTAATATCAAACTACAATGCGAGAAAGATATAAGAACGAAAAAAACAATTTCCGACAAAACAAGAAAAGAGCTAACAGCTACAGAAGTCAAGATATGTTCTATGTTTACAGATATACGTAAACTGAAGAACTTAAAAGATACATATTGTGATAGTATCCTATCGGTTGCAATAACAGTTTTAGTTAACATATATATGTCAGATATACGTAATGAAATTAATAAAGTTGAAGAATGCTGCAAAATGAATATAGAACTTATGAAAGGACAAGAACTATCTCCTAAATACATTATACTAGCTATGGCCACGCAGCTGTGGAGAAATTATATTCTATACTTGAAAAATGCACCAAAAAAAGAGCGTTATTCATGCTTAAGTACAGCAATGCTTCTGCATTGTACGTATACAGCAAAAGAAATATATCCTACTCCTATTAAATATGATGAGATCTACTATGGACATGAAACGAATCCAAAACTCATTTTAGATCAATTTCAAATAAATATTTTGGAAGAAATAATAAAAATGTATATTTTTTATCCACATGATAAACACGAATTTGTATTATATATGCATAAATTACTGAAAGACACTATGGAAGAAGCACTTTTACAGTCAGGACATCTTGAGTGGAGTAGTACCTGTTCTAACTTAGTGTTCTATTTTATTTCTCATAATCGTTTTTGTGAAGCCAAAAGTCATCTTCTTATTGCAAACAAAATAATGAACAAATATATCGAGAAAATAATGATTATAGCCGAGACAGATAATACTTCAGATGAGGAAAAAGATGTAGCTGTTTGTAGGTATTATAATGCAATACATGCACACAACTTAAGATGGGTGCAATACGCAACTGAACTTATTCGTAGTTCGCAAGAAAGATTGTTACAGGGTGAAAAGATAAGTAACAATAATTCACCTTGTGAAATAGATAATTCAAGTTTAACAGCTTCTTTAGTATTTGACGAAACATCTGAACCTGTACTTGCATATTATGAGGAAGGCATAATAGATTATCGGTCTTTTACAGACCAATACTTAATACATTATGATGACGTGCGCAAACTTTGCGAACCGGCAATGGAAATAGCGACTAACGCAATGAACTACTTTGATCTAACTGACAATTTATATCGTCTTGGTGAAACAGGTTTATATTTGTCAAGACTATATAAATATTTGTCTTATTCTGTTAGAAACTCTTCAATGGCAATAGAATGGCATAATAAACGAGTAAAAAATTTAAAATACATAAGTGATAAATTAAAGACATGTACAGTTTTACAAGAAAAACGATTATATCAGGCTGTTTGTCTAGAATTAGGTCTCGCTTATTGCGCATCTTTAGATAAAATGGAAGAAAAGATAGTACGAACAGGTGAAGATTTAAGAAAAGACGTAACAAACTTATTTCGCGAACAAGTAAGAAACATTATAGACTGTTTTAATATTGTAAAACTATACGATAGTGAATTCAAAACTCTTTCAGAAACCTAAAGATGAGGAAAAGATATATTGATAAAGATAGGTTTTTTTTTTTTACTATGTTACGTACAGACAACTTCTGTATTTATGTATACTCTATAAGGATGTCTAATAAATTAGAGTTTTTGTAATATTTATTTTTGACTAATTTTGACATACAATGGAATATCCTTCGAGTTCGTGTTTGTTGACTCCTTTGAAGAAACGACGCAGATTTCGGATGTGTCAACTTTCTAGTCAACTAACTTGTTAAAAATTCTTATTGGCTAAATATTCAGGTTAATTCTAATTTCTCACTCGGATTTCTATATTGAACTCTGGCAATAAATAAATATTTACCTCGTCATCACCAAAAGATGCTCGTCCGATGGATTATTACGATTTTAAAGCGATTATATTTTTTTGCGGAATCGATTCTGACGATCGATTGTGTAATCTCAAAACGAGGGTAAAAATTTCCACATAGTAAGCAAATTCGCTAGAAAATCCTACGATCTCATACGTTAAAACCTAGTGAATTTGCTTTCGTAACTTTCCTCTCGTCTAACAATATGCTGTTGACCGTATGTTGGGAGAAACGTAACGCAGATGTCACCTACTGCTGTCAACTTTATTGTGTTTAGTTGGCACTTCTGGCAAAAACCAAACTTCGAACACGAGGACGAACATTTTCGAATCATGTGTCGCACGTGAATACTACGTTTCATCGTCAAGACTTTTGTTGGTAAGAATTTCTTACTTGCGTGTGATGAAAAAATCTATATTGGTAGTTTTCTGTGAGTAACGTACAACGTGTGCAACTCTGTTTTTATAATTGTGTTTACAATTTTTTTATACGCGCTTTTTTCTTAAGAAAAAATAAACGGCGGTATTATTTTCTCCATCTCCGACTGAGAAGGTTCGGCAGGAACCGAGATATTTGGCGGAATTGAGAATTTTATTTGACAATTTGTGGGGTCAATTATGAAAGGAACAGTTTTGAGATAACGATACTCGTATTTAGCACGATCGAATATACATCTGCGTAGACGGCGAATTTTTGGAAAAACAAAAAACAAAATATCCGTTATTTCAAATATACAATCACAGATGCGGTCAAGGTCTTACTACAAATATTTTGAATCGTTCTATCTTTATTTCTTGTTAAACGAAGGGTATAGATAGAACGTTGCTTCGAAATATTTGTAGCGAGACTTGGCTGCGTTGGGAAGCGCGCTATCAGCGCATCCCACGTGTCGAGTATCAAGATCGGTCTTGCCAACTCAAACCGGCCGATTAAATTTATAAAATACCACCTGCGAAACTCGATAGCTTTTGAATTAATTTGTAATTTTAATCGGCCGGTTAAATTAATCGGAAATGATGTAATTTGATCTTGTATTTATAAAATTGTCGATTAAAAGTTTATTTTATTTTCAAATACCTAATCAATACTCAGGCAGTATTATAAGATAAAACTAAGACGATCTTTTTCCTAAACATATAAGATCATGAATTTGTATCAATGTAACGATCTGCGTTGTATCAAAAATTTATCAATTTGACTTTGTACACAAAGAGTGTTATTATATAAAGAGTATAAATTAAAAGAAATTTCATGAAAAAATAATCATCTCTAAGGCTGGGAAAGTCTAAAACTTAGTAGAGTAAACATACTCTAGTAGATTAGATTGTACATATATCTATCTACCTATGTAGCTAATTGCAATAAGAGTAAGAAGGATAGGTCATCGTGCTATCTTTCTCGTAGTAATTCGGAGTTTACTCCTCGGTTTGATTAAGAGTACCGACCCTCTGAATCATGATACACATAACAAATGATCACGTTCAGCAAAATCAATTGTTTACTAAGCGCTTTGTGCTTATTGTTGGCATATAATTTTTATATTTGCGATAAAAATCTAGAGAAAATGGCCTAATCGCACAGAGCACAATAAGCACAAAGTTTACTAAGCTTTCAAAAAAAGAAAAGAGTTTTGTGTCTCAACTCTTTCTACGACATTCTTATTGTACTTTTTATGTTTTGCTTTTCATTATTATGATTTTTAATATGATTTACTTAAACTAACATGTTTTTTTTAGATGTTCTTGTGACAAACAGAACTATTACTATTCTTGCATTCCAAGAATCACTAAGAAGCATCTTTAGATTTTGATATCAATTTACCCAGAAATTGAAATCTCTAGTCCGTTCAATGCACGTTGGACGTACTTGATGTGAGGTGAAGCGACTTTTTTGTACAAAAGACCATCTTCGATATTGTGAGAAATATATATAATATATATATATACATATAATGCGTGAATTTCTGGATATACTTCCCAAAATTTGGGCAAAAAAAAGAACTCTCAATACTGGTAACGTATAAAACTAAATTATTTACAAATAATTATAATTCACACACACAATGTGTGTTTTAATTACCATTGTTGAATTTATGTTTAGCATCTGATGAGAAAGAAAAGCCAGATGACAGCAAAAATATCTCAGCAAAGTTACATGTCAGTAAAAAGTATCTGGAACTTCTAAACTCAGTACGTAATATGAAAATACAATGCGAGAAAGATATAAAAATGAAAAAACAAATTCCCGAGAACATAAAAGCAATAACAGCTACAGAAGTCAAGATATGTTCTATGTTTACAGATATATGTAAAATGAAGAATTTAAAAGATACATATTGTGATACTATTCTAATGAGTGCAATGAAAATTTTAGTTGACATATATATATTATATAAGTGTGGTAAATTCAATAAAGCTGAAGAATTGTGCAAAATGCGTATAGACTTTATGAGAGGACAAGAACTATCTCCTAAGTATATTATACTAGCTATAGCTACACAGCTGCAGTTAAATTATATTCTATACATGAAAAATGCACCAACAAAAGAGCGTTATTCATGCTTAAGTACAGCAATGCTCCTGTATTGTACATATACAGCAAAAGAAATATATCCTACTCCTATTAAATATGATGGGCTCTACGATGGACATGAAACGAATCCAAAAATCATCTTAGATCATTTTCATATAACTATTTTGGAAGAAATAATAAAAATATATATTTTTTATCCACACGAGAAACACGAATTTGTATCATATATGCATAAATTACTGAAAGATACTATGGAAGAAGCACTTTTACAGTCAGCACATCTTGAGTGGAGTAGTACCTGTGCTAACTTAGTGTTCTATTTTATTTCTCATAATCGTTTTTGTGAAGCCAAAAGTCATCTTGTTATCGCAAGCAAAATATTGCTCAAATATTCCGAGAAAACAATGAATATAACCGAGGCAGATAATACTTCAGATTTGGAAAGAGATCCAGCTACTTGTAAGTTTTATGATGCAGTACATTCAGTCAATCTTATATGGGCGCAATACGCAACTGAACTTATTCGTATTTCGCAAGAAAGACTGAAAGGAGATGAAAAAATAAGTACCAATAATTCATCTTGTGAAGTAGATAATTCAAGCATAACAGCTCCTTTAGTATTTGACAAGACATCTGAACCTGTAGTGTTACATATTAAAGATGTGGAAATAGATTATCAGTCTTGTACAGATCAATATTTAATACAGTATGATGATGTGTGGAAACTTTATGATGTGATAATGACAATGTTGGACACCGCAATAAAGTACTTTAAGCTACGTAACAACTTGTTTCGTCTTGGTGAAACAGGTTTATATGTGTCAAGACTGCATAAGTATATTCCATATTTTGATGGATCTTCAGAAAGAATAAATTGGGTTTTCTCACGAATACAAAATTTAAATAACGTAATTGAGGAGTTAAGTGAATCTACAGATCCACATGTAAGACGTATATATCAGGTTCTTTATCTAGAATTAAGTCTTACTCGTTGCACACTTTTAGACATGTGGGAAGAAGCGATCATACGGACAGGTGAAAACTTAGATGAACGAGTAATAACAATACTTAAGCCGATAACAAAAGATATTATCAACTGTTTTTCAAATGTAAACCTATACGATCGTGAATTAAATCCATAAAGCTGTGAGATGAAAAAGATACAAATGTTGACAGAGATAGTTAACGCTGTATTATATATTTGTGTACTTTGTAGACATATGTATATATATATATATACATATATATATATATATAAAATATGTAAATACAGTTTTATTTAATAAATATAATTTTGTATCTGGGATTATCCGGATATCTGAATAATCAAGACCAATTTGTTTTATACAAAAACTATGGCTGTGTTCCAGAGTTCATTACCAATGAAAATGTATAACGTATGTAATGTGAACTTTAGATTTGTATATAGTACTGACAGTGAGTTGAAGTGTTTTGATTCTCAATAATTCATATGTCATTCTGCAATTGACTAAGGCCGGTTCCACCTTCAGATAAAGTATCGTGTAATCTAATGGTTAAAACTCTGATTTGCGTTGTTTCACGTGTCGGTAAAATTTATATATCTGGTAAATGACCAGAAAATGACCAAAAAATAAATTACACGGCACTCTCGGTACCGTCGTATCTAACAGATAAATATGTAGAAATAAAAAACAGTGGGAGAGATGGCTCTAAGAGCTATCAATAAAAATAGTAAGGCTGTAGGAGTAGAGAATAAACTATTTCTCGGTGAAGAAACAACGGGAGAATTATGAAATGAGCAATTCCCATTTCGCACTGCCTACTGCATTACTGTTAGCCAATGAAAGACGCGTGTCAAAAAAACGCGAAATATATAATTACTTGTATAAACAAAAATGAAATAATCCCAAGAACCTTACTTCTTACTCTATGGCTGCTTTCCTTTTAGGAGACACAGTCGACACAAGTCAACACAAGAGTCATTCTGTCTTTGTTTCTCACTGAATACTGAACAAAGACAGAATGACTTTTGTGTCGACTTGTGTCTCCTAAAAGGAAAGCAGCCTATACTGCCTATTTCTATTGTAGACGGCGGCCCTTTACGCATGACCTAAAACAAAATTCAGGATCCAATCAGCAGTCTGATCTCGTAGAAAAACAGCAAAATGATTGGCTATTGCGTCTCTTCTAGTCACACGTTATACGTTATCATGTGTGTATAAACCGTAAGAAAAGGCGTTTCCGTTATTTAACAGAATCCAAAGTACGCATGTATGCAGTGTGCGTGGAGGGATTAGGTTCAACTAGGTTTATTGAAATCGGGCAAGAGAGTGAATATTGAATAGTTCGTTTCTTTGTATTTTATCAGAAAAAAAATGATTCTTTTTTTATAAAAACGTTATTGTTACTTAACAATACGTGTGTGTGAATTATATTTAATATAATTTACTTTTATATCAATTACTCTCGACGAGCAATGAAAGAAAATCTCAACAGTGATGTGCTGATTCTTTTTCTATCCTAACTATTAATCTGTGAAATATATACACTTATGATTAAATTCAACGAGAGAAAAAAGAATGGCACTTGAACTAATTGACCGTTTAAAGGACTCACGTCTGGTCGCATTAATTCAACAATTTTTTGGCGTCCAGATAAATTATGATGAACATTCTCAAGAGATTGGATATAGCAAGACATCACAAAATAATCAAAAGGAATATATTCACAAGAAAGTTGACTGGAATGACAAAAATCATGTTTTAATAAACGAAAAGATAAATAAATCTGAAGAACATAGGCAGTTCAATGGATGCACAAAGCAAACAGAATGTTTAGAGCAGGAAGACAAGTCAAAGAAAAAACATGAACTAACTGTAACAACCGTAGGAAATCCGTGCTATACTATCACTAATTTATTTTGGTATTATTTATTTTCATTTGGAACTGAGCTAGGAGATGAAGTATTCTATAGCACTTTTATACCTTTCTTGTTTTGGAATGTTGATGCAGCTGTTGGGCGAAGAGTAGTCTTGGTTTGGGCTACTGTTATGAGTACTGGTAAAGTCAGGCAATAATTAAAAACAACATATATATATATGATGATTTAAATGTATTATATAACTTATATTCTCTTTAAACCTCTATTTATATTTTTCCATTTTCAGGACAGGTACTCAAGGATGTAATTTGTTGGCCCAGACCGGCATGTCCACCAGCAGTAAGATTACAAAATAAGTGGTCACAAGAGTATGGCATGCCATCTACTCATGCCATGGTCGGTCTTTCTATTCCATTTAGCATTATATTCTTTACTATGAACAAGTATATTTATTCATTTTCCTTAGGCTGTATTATTGCATCTCTTTGGTAAGTGATGATATATATTAATAATTTCTATTGGGAAAGAATAAAATAATTAAATTTTACAACTTACAACATTTGGTTTCAGGTGTATACTTGTCAGTACAAGCCGAATCTATCTTGGCATGCATACTGTGCTAGATGTTTTGGCAGGCTTACTTTTAGCAATTGCATTAATGATTCCATTAGTACCTCTAGTAGATATAACAAATTCATACATCATCACAAACTTTTGGATATTATCGATATTGATTGCTGTCAGTATTGCCGCTATAGTATATTATCCAAATCCTGATAAATGGACTCCTACTAGGTAGGAACAAATTTAAAAATTGCCATCATCAAAAATATCGTTGCTTATAAAATCAAAAGGCACAGTAGTGGCGCCTCGCGCCAAGTTCACGCGCAACGAAGTAGCGCATTAAATTTTATAGAAGTTTGATTTTTTTGTTTTTGTTTTAGGAGTGATACTGCCATGGTTGTATCGGTCACAGCAGGAATTCACACAGGAGCTTGGCTTAATTACTTTACTGGTTTATTAAACGCGTCACAGTCTTCGCCTCCATATTATATCACTTGGCCAGTTTATTTTATGTTTGGTCATATGTTTTTGAGAACTGTACTTGGATTTTCAGGCGTTCTTATAACAAAAGCTCTCTGTAAATCTCTCACCTACATTACAGTATGTGCCATATTAGGAACTAATTGGAAAGAGCTCGTGAAGAGTCAGGATTTTAGTAGAAATCCGAATAAGGTGTTTGTCGATCTAGTCTACAAATATGTTGCTTGTTTTATGATAGGTGTAAATACAGTGTATCTGTTCCCACTAATGTTCAACATGATAGGTATTGAACGGCCAGCATTTTATACAGAAATGTAGAAGGGAAAAAGAATTACTATGAATCTTTTTTAGTGTCTTTGTTCAAGTTATGTTTACTTTTTGAAATATATTTTTTTAAGGCTCTTACTGGTCTCTCTCATGTATCTGAATACTGAGACGAATCTTTTACAATCTGTATAAATTATTTATACGTTTGTTATATTTTTTATATTTTGTTTTTGTATTTTCCGTAATTATAGCAATCATATCATTGGAAATAACTTTTATTGAAGTGTAATCGTAATATCATGTAGGCATCATATATCAATAAGTACTTCAAAATTGCGAAGTACGATGAAACTCTTATTTGACAAGATCAATCATTATTTTTTTTTAGAATTAGAAAACAAAATCAAAATAAATTTGTTATTTTTTGGGGTATTATTTTCTTTATTTCGGCTCTACTGATACATCTACACGTAATACCTAAATAAATAAGAATACATTATATACATTACAGATCTAGTCCAAGTAAGAAAACTTCGTGAAATGTTTCTTATCTTACCCTCATATTGAAATCTAAAAAGGCTCTTGCAGTATCCGCTTTGACTGTGTAGGGAAGAAAAACATCGGACGAGCGACAAGCTTTCTCATTTGTAACATTTATACGATCAGAGTTCACCAGTACTACTACATCCTCAACTAAAACCTGCAAAATGATGAAGCAAATCATATTTTAATCCTGCGCAGTATTCTTAGTCTGTAAGATGAATTCACTGTTGAATGCTCATGCAACTCACACTCTTTAGCATATCAAATAAAACGATTAGACGCTCAGCTGGACCTTTCTGTGGTTCTTTTAAAATTAAAAACTTCAGTTTTGTATTCTCATCTTGTGAAAGACTTTTAGTTGACATTTCTTCAATCAGTGGTTTAGGAACTTGTGGATGATTTCTGACTTTACGATTTTCTATTCGATGTTGCTGTAATTTTCCTATTACCTATAACATCATTACAAGTAGACTTAAAGAGTCATGCTTACAATATTTTTCACGTAAACACACAACTTACCTTTCGGTTTTTTAAAATTATAAAATCATCTGTAGAGATCTCTTTTTCGAACTTGTTTGCTACTCCACTTAGTATAATTAATATTGTAAATGCCATAAATTGAGGCTTTTCTTTACATTTTTTGAAATATGCTGAATTTATCATCACATCATATGTTGGAGTTGGTGTACTAGCTGCAAAAGAGAGATATGACTGTTAAACAGACTTCTTTAAAATATAATGTACAGTAACAAAACTTTTTATCTTTTACATTTGCTCATTTCCATTCTTTCCGCTCCAATGCTTAGTGGTATCATATAATTAGTGTTTTCATTGTCTATAATTTTAAGTAGTTCAGCATCGGATAAATCTTTTGGCGGTGGAATTTTATCAGATATGCATACATTCACAAAAATCTTCTCATTGCTAATTGTTCTGGCCTTTACACAGATACCTGTAATCACATTTTGTATTGAACAACTTTGATTCTAAATAATTAATAGGTTTGGTTGGTTTGGTGCAAAATTGGCTCAGTGGACCGAGTTAAGTTAGTCCATACGCCATTCTAGAATAAAAAGAATACACAAAGACTACTACAGCAAAACACACGCTATGCTTTGCTTTGCTTAAAATCAAAAAATTATGTTGTCGACTGAAGAAGACCGAGAAACGATACTTCCGTGACGACGGTTACGTTGGAACTCTAAATAATTAATATTGTAAACAAACCTGGAGTAGGAGTTACTATAAGACATGGGTTCTCTAAGTGTTGCATCAAATCTTCCATCTTCTGCTCTATATCACTTTTCTCATTCTCATTCTCTTGGAGGAATAAGAGAGAAGGTTTGTTTTGGTTTGGTGCGCACATGGCTCTTGGATCTGAAGCGGTTAATTCATACGCCATTCTGAGACTAATGATTTGGTGATCGGACGAGAACTGGTATTCTACAACGCGGTATGACCGTTGGCGATTCTGAGACTAATCAGAGAGAAGACTGAGAGAGTACTGAGACTACTGAGAGTCAGTTTTGCCCATAGACGTATAATATAAATAGACTGCGCGTTCCCTACCTTTGCCATGTTAAGAAAATGTCTTCAACGTTGAGAGAGAGACAGCTGGTGTTGAATAGTAGCCTCATCTTTGTCTAGCGAAGTAGTGGGGTAAATGATAGAC